TGACTGTCATACACACTTATTTATGAAATCTAGTCGAGATATTTTTCCCCGGCGGTAAGGGGCCCCCTCTGAACTGGGGCCCCTACTCAAGTGGGTATTATTCAATCTAGATATCAGTGCTATTAATGTGTCCAACAGAAGAATGGTTAAAAAGACTGAAATGCGAATTCGCAATCTCCTTGTAGCGTAACGATCTAATTTGATTGATTACATATTTTGTGTGTTTACTGATTGCAACAATATGAATTATACCTTTGTTCTATTTATATTTCACATTAAAGTTTTATCAAGTGAAGGAGAAACAAAGGAGAAATAAAGATAAAACAAATTATAGTGTTGAAGATAAACGTAAAGAAAGGAACATTCTTGAATGAAATGGATAGATGGAAACACACTAATGAATTAGGAGGTTTAGATAGACAGATAGCGTTATAAAGAACAGGTAAAGAAATATAGACATATTTAGCATTAATACTGACTTAAGATATCCGAAAGAGAATGACTAGGAGCACGATTTTCAATTTTCTGTGTCTATATCGTGTGTTTTAGCAATATGTGTACATTTGTAAACACGTTAATGAGAATTGAAGGATTATGAGATTAAAAAAATCAGAAGTTGTCTACAGTTCTTAAGAAACATATTACGCTACTGGTTCTGTAATAAAATTCCCAATCTAATCAGACTCAGACCAACACCACGGATAATTACATGTATAATATGATTCCCACAGTCTAGAGGGAAATAAGCCCATAAACAGGGAGCAAGGACCACATTGTACAATTTGGCGCCCTCTATTGCGCATACAGATCACGTTTACAGAAAAAGCAGTTGCAAGCCTTCAAGGTCGATTTCTCGTCTCTGTTCCTATTTTCTAGCTCAACGTCCTAGAAACTATAAATTAAGAACAGAAATGAAGCAATTACTCTGTTCACCGTAAGACTTAATAATTGTTCTTTTCCCCCCAAATATACTTATCCCACTTACATTTTTATGGAATGGTTAAGTTCAAGTATTTTTAATTAGATTGTATTGAAATGGCTAAAATATAAATATTTCTTTATTTGCCACCCAAAATGAGCATAACAACAACAACAACAACTGCTTTTGTACTGGTAATTAGTAACCTTTATTATGACTTTTTGCTTGTTAAAATACTTTAAACGTTTTAGTTACAACCAACACAGAATAAGTACTGATTTTACTGCATTCTCTTGCATGTTTTTGCTTTAAAATAACTTATGAAAAATATGACATTTGATATTTAATCAGAATCTGATTAAAACTTTTCGAGTTACGCTGTTCACAATCATACATAAGCGTGAAAATAACACCACCACCGTCGTTACTTTTACGTTGACAGTTGGCACCTAAGTGCAGAGTGCGTTTTTAAGGCAACGAGTTGCAAACCACGAATCCTCGGATTCACAACCTGGATACGCTATCTAGTAGACCACAACTGGCTCTCGAACAAGGTATGAAAATAGTATTGTTCTAAGATGTATTTTCAATATTTTATTTTAGTTTGCTAGAGGAAGCTGCTAAAAGGATGATGACGCTATTTGTAAACTTAGGCCTACAACTGTGTACAAATTACAATACCCTGTAACGAACGTTAAGAAAGAAACTTAATTTGTTCATGATGACGAAGAATCCACTTGAAGTAAGTGTATATATAGTAGAGCCTGCCGATATATGTGTTAAAAATTATTATTTAAAACATAAAACAAGTAACAACGTTTCGACCTCCTTAATCAACATCAGATTATTGATCACGTGTTTTGAGGACGTCAATAATGATAAGTATAAGATTGTAGAGAGCGATGTGTTTAATCTATTACATATAACAATTAACAGAGTAATATTATGTGCAAACACATTTAATGAAATAATTAATATAGGTATTGAAGTGTTATTTGGTGCTGGTTTAATGTGGGTTTAAGTTCTTGTATTAGAATACTTCTTTAATTTTTCGTTTGATTATATTTGTTTCTGTGTTTAATATGTAAGTGTTTTCTATGTGATAGTGAAGTTCAGAAATGTTAGTTGTTTATCTTTTTCGTATTCACTGGTTAACTTAATATTTGGGTGTGTGAAATTAGTGTGGTTAAAATGCTATCTGCGTGTTCTGTACCAGTACAGTGGTGGGTATAAAGCTGAACTGATGGTTTGAGATTCAAGCTGTGTTCTAACAATGTCAGCTAGGATCGGTGACATCGACTTGCCCATACTTAAACCATTTATTTCTATGTAGTTTTGATTGTTGAACGTAAAATTAGTTTGTGAGGTAGTAAATTCTAAAAGAGTCGATTGTTGGTTGCCTAATTTAATATTAGGATTTTTCATCTGGTACAATTTAACTATCAAATTGTATCTGCAATTCAAGCCCAGCGTTATAGGTTGATGTAAAGTTCTAAAGCTATGTTACATGTTTCTGTGGTTGGAACGTCAGTGAAAAGTGAGACTACGTCGAAGCTAACTATTAAGTCTTAATGGTTTAGTTGATCGAGTATAGCCTGTAAAGGTCTTACATAAGTAAAAATACTCAGAAATTGTATTTGCTTTTTTCAATCGTACTGGCATTTGTTTAGTTGTTTTTCATGTGTTTTTGTTGAACTTGTGGAGATTCGCTTAAATTGAATCGTATCTCATATGACGTCATTCATTTTTTTTTAATTTACTCATTGGCATTCATGATTACGATGGCATTGCCCTTATCCATAGACGTAGGAGGCTGGGTGGCAGCTTCCCTAACTTGCGTTGCATACGACCATTCGGGTAAACTTTCAGTTTTCATTCGGACAAATTTAGAAGCAGAAATATAACCTCATACAGGTAAAAATTGTACAGCCCCCATTTTGAAAAATCTCCGTACCACAATACTCCTATCTGCTTTTAGAATTTGGATGTTGTTGCTTTGTTTCAGTTTATTAATACATTTAATATCTCCGTTTGAAAGGTTGCTTTTGAATTTTCTTTTTTTTAGGAAATCATGTTGGTGGTTTTGTTTAAGAATTTTTCGTAAAAGTTGTTTAAAATACTATTTTTGGTAAATAGATTTTTTCAGTTTTACGTCGATAGAATTGGTATTTGTGTTGCCTTTTTTTGGGTGGCAGTCTTCTGTACTTTTGGTTGTATTCTCGATTTGTGTGGAGTAGATAACCAGTTTTCTTGCCAGGTCTTCAACACATGCTTTCATTTTAATACATGAATTAAATATATTTGGGTGTGACAACAAAGTTAGTACTTTGTTCTGAAGATGTTTTTCTTCGGTGTTGAATTGTTGGTTGGTGGTTTGTCTTGTTGACATCTTAGTTAGTCAAGTTTTTTTGCTATGGCGGGCCTTTTTTTTTATCTTCCTTGTTGTTGATTTGGTTTATGTTGTACGAGTCTATACATTTTTAGTTTAATGCAGCAGGCTAACTCACGGTCTAGATTATTTTTGCAAGTCATTCAGTTCCGCGTCTTTAGAGTTAAACGTAGCATTTAGTAGTTTTTACTGCAAGTTATGGATAATATTTGTAAACTTATCCAGACATTGGGGTAAATTTACTTTCACAAAATTCGGGATTAATTGTTCTGATAAGTGAAATGCCATGTCTTCTATTGATAATTTTATCTAAATTATTTAGTTTTGAAAGCATCGCTCGGCCTTGTGCATTTAGCGATGGTGTAACGTATATCGGTTGAACCATACTGAAGTTTACACAGACACACTAAGAAATAATATGGACTTACATATCTCGGATAATCGTCGTGGTGAAATATTTCATGACCACGAGGATCATTCTTGAAGCATATATATATATATATATATAGTAGAGATGGCTGATATGGACATTAAAGTTTGTTACCGTTACGTGGACTGGATTTCGCATTAATTCAACCAAATAATTTAAAATAACTCGTCAACGAAAGAACACGTTATAATAGCATGTTACAATTTTATCAATATAAATATAAACAGTCAGTACCCAATAAAAATCCTTAAATCCTCAACGTTTCACCTTACGGCTTTATCCAGAGGTAGACACCGTAAGGTGAAACGTTGAGGATTTAAATAGTTTTTATTGTGTACTGGCTGTTTCTATTCATTAAACATGTTTACACCCACACCGGTGTTCACTACGCGAACTGAATTCTTCAGTATGCTACACTTGTGAATGCACGTTAAATAAAAACTTTTATACACGAAATACTAAGGCATTATTCTTAACCATCCTTCTACTTTTACAATAAGATGTTTTCGAAAATTAATAGCGGTAAAGAAAGGGCTTTATTGTTTAAAATGTCATTTAAGTATTCGGAAACTTCTAAAACATTAATGTATTAATAAAATGTCTTTAATTACTGGAGATACAGTGTAAAGAACGAGAAGGTAAAACAGTTTCGCCATCTATCGAGCCTCTACGGAACAACGAATACACTATTTTGAACTAATGTTACCTTGATTGAAAAAAAAGTTCCGAATCAAAGCGTACAATTTACTTGTAAAAAACGAATAGTATAATAAACGTATTGACAACAGATCAAAAATAACGTTCGTAAAAACGTTTTATCTATTGTTTCTGTGATTTATATATTTACAAAACTGAAAAAAAACACAAAAAAACTTAAATTAGTTTAACATTAGGATTTTTTTATTTGGTGCCGTGGCACAACTTAACTATCAAATTGTATCTGCAATTTAATCCCAGCGTTATACGTTTTCATCTTTTAGCAATTAACACATTTTTTGAGTGTGGGAGGCTTATATTGCTAAAACTAATGGAAGGTCATTTGGTATAACATTTTGTTGTTGTGATGATCAATCAAAATTTATGGGTGTTCATTTTGTTCTACAGACTACTAATTCAACTAATTTAATTTGGATGTATCATACTTTTTAGTATAAACTGATAAAATGTTTTTACATTTTAGGCCAGTTAAGATACAAGTTAAAATACTACACATTCGTCTTAAGGATGGCTCAGAAAGAAATCAAAATTAACAAGTACAATTATTCACGTTGGATAATTTAAACTTTATTCTCGACGGAAACAGTCTGCCGTAAATAATGTTCAGAGTTTATTAAATAAAAATAGTTTAAATTACGTTACTGAACATATCCTCAACAATCAGTTAGTGACATGGGCGCCCGCAGAAAGGACCAAACCCTTACATTACACAAAAATTTTATGTACTAATGTGTAAACTTAACATCGTAGTTAAATTAAGTATTTTTTTTTTTACATTGTAAACTTGTGTTTGCATTTAAGCACACATAACACCATATTTTTTTTAGTCTGTTGACTTACACTGTAAAAACTGATCCCATAAATACATGTTTTGTCTCCCATGGTTAATGGGCATCTTCTAAATATTGACATAAAATAATCTGACCTGACATTTTTGGGTTATATCATCAGCGTCACAAACAAGTAATGCTTACGTAATTATTGAGCTTTAAAAAAAAATCTTGTTAACCTTTACAAACGTTTAACCAAGTGCAACGTGGTTATAAAATATATTAAACAGTATATGTATCACTTTATAATAATTATACATTTTAAAAAGCTTCACAAGTATTTGATACATCGATCTAAATACATTTAATGAAACAAACACATTAGAATATAATTAGAACCTAGTTAGTTACATAACTTCCAATTTTTAAGTCTTGCAAATCTATTACATTATCATAACATCATTTTTTTTTGGGGTGGGGGTAATACGAATATACTGTGGATTCACTACAGAGTTAAACAGAATTTACTCTACGAATCCTTAGGTTTTCCTTACACGAGTTTCTATCAATGAAATTCAGTACTGAGTAAGCCAAATTAACCATGATGATGTAGTTTCAATGTTATATTTTTATCACCAGTTCTAGATACTTTCGTTATGTACAAACATTGTGGCTATACAAAATAATCTACAGCAGTTTTTACAAACACTTGACATTTGTACTATACCCGTTACGAGTTACACATAACATTACAAAACATTTTACACATTAGATTTCAAACTTTTATCTTTTCTAATCACATAGCTGTCTAATAAAAATACGAAAATAGCTATACCGGCACACATGGAACGTTTTTCCTTTTCGTTTTTCTATACATAATCTTACTAGATCACGAGAATGTATCATAAGACCTTTCAGATAGTCACTCCGGTCTCCATGAGCTATAACGAGTGCAAATGTCTCGAAATCCGTGTTACTAAATCACTTGACCCTGAATTATTAGATCTTGTAGATAGTCACCCGAGTCTCCGTGTACTAAATCGAGTGCAATGTCTCGAAATCCGTGTTACTAAATCACTTGACCCTGAATTATTAGAT